ATAATACATAATTGGTACTTTATTATTTTAGCTTCGGTGCAAAATTTAGAGGATTTTTTTAACATAAGCTCCATATTTTTGGCTCATAGATTAACATGGTCCTTTTAGAATCCATTAACGGTAATTATTTCATTCCAATCTTAGACTCTTACTTCCATAAAAGAAAATATTCGGTTTTTGGACAAAGAAAGAAAGCTCACACCAAAATGAAGAAATAGTAGATTAATCAAAATGCATCAGTTAAAGAATACCTTTTGCAATAGTAATTTAGTCTTTTCTAATATGTTGAGAACAATTGATATGATATTTCTTATTGACCGTAGACATTATTCAATTGTCTTTTTGTCTTGAGAGTTTCTTCCTTCGTTGAAGTTAGATAATTCTGATCAATATTTTTAAGAAACTTAAACTTTTGTTAATTTTTATTTTATGCCTCAAACACAAATTCTAATATAATCTTTATGTAATTTTCTAAAATTTTGTATTTGTTGAGATGGGGTACACGCGCGCGTATCCTAAAACTAGTTGGGGAAAGAACTGAACGCTGTTTTGAATTTCTTTTTCAGGTAAATTATAATCACTTTTTCCCATTTACTATGCCTACACAATTTATTGCAATTTGCCAGATATTTATTCCACATTAATGGCAGATTTAAAGTATCTGATTACTCTAGATTTTGAATATAACTTTGGATTTAACGAAAATAAATGTTGTATTAAATGAACAAAAGAGTCCCTCTAGTTACGGTTTCATTCTCTGCTCCTCCGGTCCAAAATAAGTGATTTTTTTGGTTGTTTTCACACAAATTAAAAAATTCACTTTTTAACATTAATTAACAATGAAATTGACCATATTAACCTTTACTATCTCTTCACAAAAACACTTCTAGCACATACTCCAGTACTATTTACTCCAAGGGCAATGTAGGAAAAAAACAATTAATTCATTCTTGAAATTTGGAAAAATCACTTATTTTGGACCACAAAAAAAAGATCAAAAAATCACTTATTGTGGACCGGAGTGAGTATTACGTAAATTCTGAATGGTCGGACTAGTAAGCCTCGAATACTATATAATTAAAATAATATTCTTTATTTTTAGTTAATAAAAGAACTCATATAGGTTTAAGCATTTCTTTGTTTGTTTTTTAGGCTCGAGAGAAAAAGTTTTACCATACCTTAAAAATATTCAAGACCTTGTGTAATTTTTGAGAATTCCTAAGTTTTATTATCAAGAAATAAGATAAGAAAAAATTCATCTATTTCATGTGAACGAACCTATAATGTATCAAAAAGTTGTCGTATACACCATAACACCACATATCTTTGAGCTTGATCTTAAACTAGGGGCAAGTGCACTCTTAGTGATGCTATTTAGAAATTAACCACTACTTATTTTATCCTAAAATTTTAAATTAAAAATTTTAATTTGAGGACAACTCAGGACATTTTTTTCCTGAAAAATTGAATTGAATTGAAAAATTAAAATTCAGAATACACTGCATAATTCCTAAATAATAGTCTTTTAGAATGGCTACTGGTGTCATTTCTACGGTTTTATTATTTTATAGGTCTGATGCAAGTTTTAAATGGGTTTGAATATAGCCCAATTGAATTGGCCTTCTCTTCTGGATTCCTCATACTCGGTTCTCGTTCTTTTCTAATTTCATCCCAAAATATGATAGTAAGAAAAAAGGACCAAACTTTTCCATCTTTTTTTTTTCTTTCTGTTTTTCCTTTTAATCATTCATATTTAGTAGGTGAAATATACATGTTCGATGAGCTAATTACTCAATATTTGTTTATCTTGAATTTTTAAAAATGTTTGCATTTTAAAGACTTGCATAACTTAAACTGAAAGTTATTTTCCTTTTCTTTTTTGGACCCACTCGGTGTCCGATATCCGTATTAGAGCCCGATTAGATCTGGATTCGCACTGCGTAAGGCTCATTTAAGTTCCATGACATGATTTTTTATACCCAGACCTTGAACCCGAGAACTCCGGTTAAGGGTGGTATTCACGTGTTTCGATCAAACACTTGTATAAAAATTTTAATCCATAAAATATTTAAAAGTATCATCCAAACACTATTCCAATACCATATGTTTCACCTTGTAACGTAATAAATATCTACAAAAATTCCAATATCGACGAGTTTCACCTTTATGACTTCTTTTATGTTTGAACTTTGAACGACTCTCTCCATTTAATTGAAGGTAATGATGTTTAGACATTCATTTAAATAGGAATTTGCTATACAGGTACATACAAAATGGAATTTGGATTGTCAAAAAGTGTTGCCATTAGCACTACATAATCACAAAGGCAGCTTACAATGGGAATGAACAATGACAGGATTGAAAGATTAATGTTAATGTAGCGATTCATGCCTGTAATTCTAATCCTATTTTACTTTGCCATTTTGGATAGGCGAGCATCCTCATAGAGCGACAGGTAGCAGAAAGACTCGTGTTCTTTAATAGTCATTCCTATAAAGTTGTATTTTAACACAACCAACCAAATGCGAACCCTATAACAACAACAACAACAGCAAATCCAATGGAATCCCACACGTGGGGTCTAGCGAGTGTAGTGTGTACATAGATTTTACCCCTACTCTAGGAAGGTAGAGAAGCTGTTTCCGGTAGACCCTTGGCTCAAGAAAGATGACAAATGTGAACCCTATAATGTAATATCAAATGTTATTTATTCTCCTTTTATCAAAATCTTTAGATTTTAATCTCCATAACTCTACTGTGTACACACATATTTGGTGAAAGTTCACAAAAAGAAAAGATTTATAGTTGAAGTTCAAACACAGTATATGGAAGTTGAAGTTGTAAGTGAACGCCATTATAGCACTTGAAATACTCCTCAAACAAGCTTAGTCCAGAATTTTAGTCAAACTGCAGAAAAGTACGCGGAAATTACAGAAATATACACCAAAAAAGCGCATAAACAGTTGCAAGAGTACAAAACTTAGTTCAGAATTTAGATTCATGTATAGACTAAAATTCTCAATCCAAAAAGATATCAATACCTGGTAATGAATTATCAGAGTTCCGAACCACATTTCGCACGTACCAAGCTGCGGAAAACACTAAAAGAATATAAAATTGTATCCAGATTTTAAAATAACATAGGAACCTAAGTTCTCAATCAAAATGATATCCTCATTTTTCATTGGATAACCTTTATATGATGCAAAAAGTGATCAAATAAGGTTCTGAAGTGCTACTGTAAACCATTTCAACTGACAAGGTAATAATTGTATCCTATAATCATGTTTTCAATGATTTTCTCAATCTTATTCTAAATCAAATTTTCTAAGATAACATGTGCGCACATAAAACACATTATGTGCATTTAAATATCATTCAAACTAATCAGGAGGATGTTAGCACCTATAAGCAGGATCTCTAAATGTTAAAGTATAGGCACATATCAGTATTACATATAATATAATACAGGCTTTTAACTCAAGGAAGGTGAATTGATTAGAAGCAACAGTTCCTACACAGGTGCAGTTTGTATCCAAGAGTTTCCAGAGAAAATTTGAGAACTCAAGACTACAAAAGAAGTTCTCCAATTTGGAGATGACAGAAGAGGAGACGAAGTTGTTATTCATTGTAATTACTAATCTTGAGAGAAATGCAAAGGAGGAAAAACTTCAAGCTGTGATTTTAATTACCTTTTGTTCCATGAGTATAGAGGTCAACAAAACATGTATACATACACATGATAAAATATTAAAAGCAAGCTGCAATAGGGACTACCTTTACCTGCAAAACAGCTATTGATATATAGAAAATATAATAGTATTATTTTACATGTTATGGAATCAATTAGGATATTTAGAGAACTGTTACTAAGCCTTCTTTCAGTGTGAGTGGTAACATGATATACCAATATCATAGCATCTCTTGATTTTATACTTGCCTCTAAGAGCATTGCATAAAAGTTGTTGATCATAGACAACTTTCTAGGTCAGCAATTGTAACCCCATTTTCTACTCGGGTGTTGTAGTTCCACACTTCAACAGTCACTGTATTGCATCTAAGATTGGTGAGGGCATCACTTACTTCAGATAGTAGACATAGCCTATCACTTTCAGTTAACTCAATTAAGCTGTGGCTCATCCTTGTAGTAATCCCAACTAATCTTCCCATAGAAGAGGCAACACAACAGACCAAGAGACGACAACAACAACAACAACCCAGTATAATTTCACTAGTGGGGTCTGAGAGGGTAGTTTGTATGCAGACCTTACTGCTACCCTGAGGTAGAGAGGCTGTTTCCGATAGACCCTCGGCTCCCTCCCTCTAAGAACTCCCCACATTTATTCCTGGGGTGACTCGAACTCACAACCTCTTGGTTGGCAACAGAGACCAAGAGCGTGGAAATGGAACAGCCAGAAAAAGTAGATCGGTCCTTATAGATGCAAATAGAAAAGTTTCCAAATTGCACAGACTACAGTTGGCCTTCATGATATAGTCCAAGATTGGTTCGCCGATGATCTTGTTCCCGTCTTGATTTTTGACATTGTATACTATCAACAGAGCACAATTCATCATTTCATGACTCAATTTACAACACCAAAGCACCTGTCAAGTTGCTGAATAACAGATCAGTATGCTGTAGAACAGCTGTAAAAAGATAAAAGTTACTTATTATTGGCGTCAGAATTTCCCAAACTCAGTCCACAGAAAATTTTTGGTAAAGGAGATGGCTTAAACTCAAATGACGATATGTCCAAAGACAGGATCATTTTGTCTTCAGAGATCCAAAGCTAATCACGTCCGTTTGTTTGCTTTAAAAGAGAACATATCTTGGCCGTCCATTTGAGTAAAAGAATGAAATAGAGTATTAGAAATCTAGAAGCTTCTTTTACCGTGTGTAGTGTGTAGTTAAAATATGTACATATTAATTTCTCTATATTCTTTCTTAAGATTCTTTTAGGTAGTTACACATAGACAAATAGTGATAGGACACCTGTACCTAGCATAACAGATTTTTATTCCTTTTGCTTTGTATAAATACTTGTACACAGTTGAATGAAATAGACAACAAAAAGTTCTCCATTACAACTTTCGTTTCGGTTATGGTATCACAGCAAAAGGTCTAGATCCTATCTTCTTGCTCAAGTTTTCTCTTGGACTTCTTCAATGGCGGTCACTGACGATCCCTCTGTTACACTGCCTGCTGGAAGTCCTTCCACAATCCAATCCCCTCAAATCACTATCACAAATGATAGCTCTCATCCCTTTCACCTTCATCCTTCAGATTCACCTGAGATGATTCTTGTCAATTCCATCTTTGATGAAAAGGGATATGGAGGATGGCGTAGGACAGTCCTCATAGCTCCCTCGGCTAAAAATAAGGTTGGCTTCATAGATGCGACGATCACATAGCCACCTGCAGATTCACCCTCTTTCAAGGCATGGAGTCGATGCAATGATATGGTAATATCATGGCCGCTGAACTCTCTTTCAAAGCAGATTGCTGAGAGTGTCCTTTATTCTAAGACTGCTAAAGAAATCTGGAAGGAATTAGAAGATAGATTTGGTCAAAGCAATGGAGCTTTGCTTTATTAGCTGCAGAAGGAACTTAGCAATTTAGTTCAGGGAAGTTCTGATATTGCTGGGTATTACACAAAGTTTAAGAAAATCTGGGATGAGTTGGAAAGTTTTGATACCTGTACTCACTGTAGTTGTGAGTGCTCTTGTGGAGGAAAGAGTAGATCTCTGAGATCTTAGCATGATGGAAGGATTATTCAGTTCCTGATGGGGCTGAACGATACTTATTCATGAGTGAAAAGCAATATTCTCATGACCATACCTTTTCCTAGCATCAATCATGCTTACTCACTCTTGATCCAGGAAGAGAGACAGAAAGAAATCCAGGTTGCACAGCATCCTCTTGACTCTGCTTTCTTGGCCACAAAACAACAATATGGAGGTCAGAAGTATGCTCAAGCAGATAAGAGAGGAAATTTTGAGGGAAAGAGAAACAGAGTGGTATGTTCTTATTGTAAGAAGCCTGGACATTCAGTTGAGAAATGCTTCAGAATCATTGGGTTTCCTGCAGATTTTAAATTTACTAACAAAAGGTCTCAAGGAGGTGTTCAGGAACATGCAGCAACCACAACAGATCCTAATTCTGATCAGTCAAGCTATGGTTTGGAGAAAGGACTCACTCAAGAGCAGTATCACAATCTATATCAGGTACTTCAACAAGCTAAGTTTACACCACAAGGAGACATCAACTCAGAAGTGAATATGACTGCAAATTGTGCTGGTATACCTAAATACTCTTTTTCAAAAATAGCTAATACTGTTATTTGGATCTTAGACTCAGGAGCATCTGAACACATGACATGCGATCTTAATCTTCTATTCAATGTTAGAACCTTAGTCAAGCCAGTCTTTGTTAATCTTCCTAACTTACAAAGGGTTAGGGTCACTCAGGCAGGAAATGTACAAGTTCTTCCTGATCTCAGTCTGATTAATGTTCTTTTTGTTCCTACTTTTAAGTATAACCTTCTATCAGTTCACAAACTTTGTCAGCATGTTAATTGTCTACTCATTTTTCACTCTATTGGTGCAATTTTACATGCCCCTTCAATGAAGAGGCCAGTGGTTCTTGGTAAGGAGAAACAAGGGATTTATCTACTTCACACCATCAAGCCTAGTAGAATTTGGTTGATTCCAAGAAGGACTACTGTCCAGTTTTTTCAGCTTCCAAGAAGGACTACTGTCCAGCTTCTTCTAAGTGTATTAGGGATAGTACTAAGTCTTTAGTTTCAGTTTCATGTTGTTCTGCACTTTCAAATGATGTAAGCCTATGGTACTTGAGGTTAGGGCATTTGCCTTATTCTAATATGAGAAATATAAGTGTATTAGGGATAGTACTGTGATGACCCAAAAGGTCATCTTATGTTTTAGAACTCGAATCTGCGCTCTTAAGCCTTAAAAATCACATTTTTACCCACCTCGATTTGCGTGCGCAGTCCGGACAGGTTTCCGGAAAGCTTTTATGTTGAAAACTAATAAAAATAAGAATTTTTGCCTTAAAAGTTGATTTTAGTTGACTTCGGTCAATATTTTTGGGAAATGGGCCCAGATCCGTGTTTTGACGGTCCCGGTAGGTCTGTATCGAATTATGGGACCTGGGCGTATGCCCGAAATCGAATTCGGAGGTCCCTAGCTCAAGTTATGAATTTTTGATGAAAATTAATTGTTTTTAAGAATTGATTAATGTTTGGCATTGTTAGTATCGGGTCCGTATTTTGGTTCCGGAGCCCGGTACAGTTTTATTATGATATTTAAGACTTGTCTGTGAAATTTGGTGAGAAACGGAGTTGATTTGACGTGATTCGGACGTCCAGTTGAGAAGATATGGATTTTAAAGTGTTCTTGAGAATTTCATTTGATTTGGTACTAAATTCGTAGTTCTAGGTGTTATTTTGGCGATTTGATCGCACGAGCAAGTTCGAATGATATTTTTAGTCTTGTGTGCATGTTTGGTTTGGAGCCCCGAGGGCTCGGGTGAGTTTCGGATAGGCTACAGGGTGATTTGCACTTAGAAAATCTGAGATTTTTGCTGCAGCAGCTGTTCTGGTATGCCCTTCTTCGCGTTCGCGTAAGTAGTGTCGCGAAAGGTAAAATGGGGGCAGGGGAAATTTATTCTTCGCGAACGCGAAGGACTGGTCGCGAACGCGAAGCGTTGGGGGTGGTACCCTTCGCGAACGCGATCTGTCCCACGCAAACGCGATAGTTTAAGGGACCTGGGGGAGGGGGTTATGTTCTTCTACGCGAACGCGTCCACTGGGTCGCGAACGCGAAGGCTTGGGGGGAGTTGCCTTACGCGAACGCGTAGAAAGACTCGCGAACGCGAAAGCCTTAGGTCGTTGTGCATCGCGATCGCGACAGGCCTCTCGCGAATGCGATGAAGGCCTGTCCAGTGACTTAAAACAGACTCCAAACACGGGTTTGAGCCATTTCTTCAACATTTTTCAAGAACCAAACGGGTAGAGGCAATTTTTAAGAGTCATTTTCTTCCCCAAATTGTTGGTAAGTGATTCTAAACCATTTCTTTCAATTACCCATTACATTTCTTGAATTTTCAACCTAAAATCTAGAGTTTTCATAGTAGAATTAGGAGTTAGGGTAGAAACTAGGGATTTCGGGAATTTAGGGATTTAGACCTCAATTTGAGGTCGGATTCCACAACCAATCATATATTCGGGCTCGGGGGTGAATGGATTTTGGTCCGAACCTCGGGTTTTGACCAAGCGGGCCCAGAGTCGATTTTCGACTTTTTGGAGGAAAATTTAGGAAATCTAAATTTATGCAATGTAATTGATTCCTTTAATAATATTTGATATTATTGAGTCATTTTTAAATAGATACGAGTGGTTTGGAGGTGAATTCCAAAGGAAAAGCTGTGATTGAGAATTAAGTGGCCTTCGGAGCGAGGTAAGTGTTGTGTCTAACCCTGATTTGAGGGAATTAGGAACCTTAGAATTACTTGCTAAGTGAAATTCATGTAAGCGGCGTATATGTGAGGTGACGAGTACTTATGCACCGCCAATTTATCTGTTTTTCCATGTTTCTCTGTTTTTCTTATATTGTCTCATTCCTATGCCAAATTGCTACGTGTTATACTAGTGTTGTTCAATTTATCGTTCTTATCATGTTTACGGATTTTCTGGTGATAATTGAGTTTTTATTTCAAAGTTAGAGATTGATATTATGGATCCAAATATTGAAGTAAGGTTTGTACTTATTATTCTATCTCCCTGTTGTTATTTATGCATTGCGTTATGGTAAGGGAGTGCCATGATATGAGAGTAAAAGCACGAAGGGTGATGCCGTGCCGTTTCTATTAATCTTATGGTGAGATTGAGAGTAAAAGCACGAAAGGTGATGCCGTGCATTTTTTCTTACTGTATTCACTATTCCTGTTGATTTATGGTATATTGACTGCTCCGGTGATCATTCTGTTGTAGTTCTTTATCTTGTATTCCTCTCAGTATGTTCCCCTCCCGACATTTCCTGTTTAGTTCTTCATTTCTGTTATTTGTATATACACTGTTAAATTGTACAGGTTGATTTGTAGGTGCCTTGCCTTAGCCTCGTCACTACTTCATCGAGGTTAGGCTCGACACTTACTAGTACATGGGGTCGGTTATACTGATACTGCACTCTGTACTTACTGTGCAGATTTTGATACCGGCTCGGGTTGATCGAGATCTTGCTATTGGTCCGCTATCCGGAGACTCAAGGTAGATCTGTCGGCGTTCACAGACCTTGAAGTCCCCGTCTATCTTTTATGTCCTACTGTTTTCTTTCATTTAGATAGTTGTATTTCTTTCAGACTATTACTTGTAATAAATTCTAGAATGCTCGTGAGTGGAGCCTCAGATAGAGCTTGACGAGGAGGTTCCAGCCCAGACTGATCCTGTCGGACCAGCTCAGGTTCCGGAGGGGTTCATTGCTACCCCAGTACTTCAGGACGCTTTGGTCCGTTTGGTGGGCCTTATGGAGAGTGTGGCCCAGACTGGCGCATTTCCCATGGCACCAGCAGTCTCTCAGGCTGGAGGAGGAGCCCAGACTCCTACCACTCCCGCTCCAGAGCAGATAGCTCCCTAGTATCAGGCTCCAGCAGCTCAGCCAATCGGATTAGTTCAGCCGGTTATTGCGGCATAGATCGGAGATGGGACAGCTATGTCTTCTGAGGCTTTGTGGGGATTGGATAGGTTTACCAAGCTCTTTCCTGTCNGACCTTGAAGTCCCCGTCTATCTTTTATGTCCTACTGTTTTCTTTCATTTAGATAGTTGTATTTCTTTCAGACTATTACTTGTAATAAATTCTAGAATGCTCGTGAGTGGAGCCTCAGATAGAGCTTGACGAGGAGGTTCCAGCCCAGACTGATCCTGTCGGACCAGCTCAGGTTCCGGAGGGGTTCATTGCTACCCCAGTACTTCAGGACGCTTTGGTCCGTTTGGTGGGCCTTATGGAGAGTGTGGCCCAGACTG